TCTCCTTCTTGCTCGGTCACTCAGTCTCTGAGGACGTCCTGCTCTAGTCAGATCTCCTCGTGGTCCATAGTCCTTCCATGTCTTAATGATGGGTTTAACTGGACTCCAGAGATGTTCAACCAGGTACTACAGCTGGTCTATGATACATTCACTGACATCCTGCAGAGAATGCAGGTTTTCTCCATCTGTTGGAGCCTCAGAACATCCTGCCCTCTAACACTGGACTGTTCCAGATGGAGAAGCTCTATCAGCGGTGGGATTCAAACGGCCGACATGCCAAGGTGACTCTCTGCTCCGACGACACAACGAATTCCCCTCCAACCTCCTGGTCGGCGTCCTCATCGTAACGCGGGGCTGAACATCGCTCATGAAAATTCAGGAGGACGCTTCGCTCCCTTCCTCCGACTCTCTGTGGCCTCCTGCTGCCGCGACTCTTTGAACTTGTTCAGCATCAAAGGATGGAGATTTTCAGACCTGATTCATCATGCGGTTATCAAAGAGGGAAATTAGTGGACACACAGAGACACGCATCCAGATCAGGAGGTTCTATTTACGGGGAAACAAAGGCTGGGCCTCCTGTATCCACAGTATCCTGCTGTCAAGGCCCCACCGGGGCTTCAGGACTACTTCAGTCTATTTTAAGAGGTTCACACTGCTGCTGACATATTCTGTAATGTGGTGAAGAAATAGTTCTGGTTGATTTTAAGCTGAATCCCAATCAGAAAAACCACCTCAGACCTCCTCAGGACCAGCTGATCATTCATCTACAGTAACTTTAGCTTATTTAAAGAAGCAGGCTTTAACCTTCCTAGAGTTCCAGCTCTTAGCTACACAGAGGAGGCTCCAGAGCTTTCACTTTGAATCGACGTTTTCCCATCAAAAAGTCAAAAAATATAAATATTCAGTCATCGTTTTGTGTCTTTTTGTGGCCGTTTTGTATCCATGATTCACTGTTCTGCATCTCTGTGGTCTTTCTCTTCATCATTTTGTGTATTTCTGTGGTTGTTTTTGCATCTGTTTAGAGTCATTCTGTCATTCAGCC